CTTCAGAAGAACCCGCATGTGCCCTGCCTCAAGCTGTCTTTCTGGAGCCAGGATCCATGTAGACAAGTGGAATCACGCTAACTTACTTCCTGGACAGTGTCTTTCATTTCATTCACGGCTGCGAGGTAAGCAGGCTTGGATATCAAGTCAGCAGCCACCCTCTGCAGAGGAGCTGTGCCAGCAGTCCTCAGGGAGATGGGACTCCTGTCCTGTTCCTCATGAGCGCTGACAACGTACAGCTCACTGAAGACTTCGTCCTTAATGCGTCCATGTCCCCCTGGGCCTCGGTCAGCTAATTAGCGTGTGCTGTTCTCAGAAGTAGGTGAACGGCCCATGGAGGCCTGCTTGTCCCTCAGCTCCTGTGCTGCTGTGGAGCAGCGCGTGGGCACAGGCTGCCCTGGAAACCTGACTGGGACTCAGGACAGCCGGGACTCTGGAAGACAGACTGCTGGCCAAAGCCGGAAACTGGGCTCCAGGGACCCCCTGGCTGTCGCAGGGTCTTGGACATCCTGGCAGCCATGCTGTGCCCCACGCAGGGGGGCCAACCTGCCTTTCAGCTGACTCAACACTTCCCACTTCCCTGCCAATGTTTGCTAAGCAATTCCCGACTTCTGGAGGAAGGGGCCTTACTTCCCTTGGAAGTCAGGCAGACAGACTAGTTTTCAGTAATTTGGGATGCGCAACAGCCAGGTAATGTTCTTTACTGTGCCCGTGGCTTGAAGGGAACACCCTCCCTCAGCACCCCCCACCTCCTTGCCCCAGCCCCTCAAACTGAAGGGCTCAGCGGTCCCTAGAGGACTGGGGCGGGGCTCAAACGGGAGTGCAGACCCCAACCCTGTGCACAGGCCTCCATGGAGGCCCTCCCCGCACTGCTTGAGCAGCCCCAATGGCTGGCGCTGGACTGCTCCTGGGGGCTGGCTGCACTATTTCCTTGATTTTCCTTATGGCTCTCTCTGCCCCCAGTGCAGGGTCATGGTCCTGAGCACACTGTGGACGGTCAGGCAGGGCTGGAAGACCCCGTCTCCTGGTGGGCAAGGACCAGGCCGCAGCAGGCAGCGCTGAGCAGAGGGGTGAGGACGTGCGGAGACCACCCAGAGCCTGTGGAGTGGTCTCCAGTCCCTGGCAGCATCTGAGGAAGTGGAGGACTTCCTTCCCGAATCAGACCACCACCACCCCTCCTTGCCCTCTCCCAGGAAAACACGCACCACAGAGCCCTTCTGAGGGCTCAATCCTGCCTCCCTGAGACAATTTTTAAACCGTCTGGAAAACGCCCATCTCCCTAGAAGTACACAGAATGGCCATGAGCGGGCTCTCCTCCTCACCCAGCCTCACAAGTCCTCACTGCGGCACATCTCCTTTCACCTCGTCCTCCGGGAAATCCACAGACCAAAGGGGGAAAGCCTGGTTTCTCGGGCTTCCCCCCTGCCTATCCTCCACGGCAGAGACTGCAGGTGCTAAACACTCTTTCCATTGGCTCTTGCAGCTAAGGGTGGTCATGTGACCCAGTTATGGCCAAACACCGACACAAAAAGCTGCTTCACGGACGAGGTAAGGTGTGCTCAGTGCAGGTGCCTTTTAAATAGGCTGCACTTAGAAGGAAAGGGAGGCAGGTGGAAACATTTAAAATATTGGGGAAGGCCAACATAAGGAGCTGGGAGGTTGGGAAGGAATGGTCTGCTACAGCAATGATGCAACTCGCTGTGTATCCTTGATAAGATGCCAGGTCCTGGCAACAGAAGGAAATCTAAGGGCTTCTCAAAAGGTTTAGGGGTGCAAAAAGAGTAATCCAGTGGGGTGAGGTGTGGGTGACATATCATGCTGGGCACATTCACCAGGTCTAGAGATGGCAGATGGGACCGGACCCAAACTTCCTTGGGTGTGTGTGTGTGTGTGTTTGAGTGCGCACACAACAGTAATCTTGTCAGAGTGCAGAAGAGGTGTGCTAGAGCTGCACTCCAGGCAAACCGGGCAGGGCACACAGGAGTGACTGTCACCGATGTACCTGACCTCTCTCCTCGTCTTGGAGGAGACTGAAAACAGCACACCCACCTGTGAGGAGAACCCAGCAGGTTCTGGCTACTCTGGCCTTGGTTTTTTAGGTCGCAAACGTGATAAACGTTTGCTAAAAACAAGAAACCTGGCTTATGACAAGGCCAGTACCATTGATTCTGTAGGCTTCCAGATCATGTTTCACACAGGAAGAGGAGCAGTCGGAGCCTGGCAGCCGGGACGCCCTGTGTGAGACAGCATGCTAGAGGCGCACAAACCTCCAGGAGAGGTTACGGAAAGAGTCGAGCAGATGGCAGTGAAATGCTAGATGCATCTCTAGAGAGTAGCACCTGGGCTATATGTAGACCCTTCCCGGCCTATATGTCCTATCCTGACCAGACACTGCAGGTCCTGGGTTTCTTATGGTCACTATCAGTGCCAGGGCACTATCGAGGCCTCACGGGCCACCTGTTCTGATGCTGCTCTATTACCATTCCGAGAACCCTTTAACAGAGTGGGTGTGAACAGACACAATGTGTTCAGAGAAAGCTTGTGAACCAACCTCCTAGGGCCGTGAGCTAGTTCTTCCCAGCTCATTCATGGCCATGAAGTGACATGGGAACAGAAGGGATCCAAATCTGTGCAGTGT